AAGCCACCTTCCCAGCCCCAGAATTAACTATTTATCACTTCTAAAAATAAGTGCTCAGGGCTTTATCTTTTCCAAGTTCAGCATCTCATGGGTTTCTGTCACTTTAATAGGATTTCCCTTACAGAAGGTGAGTGAGGGAATTCTCATTTTTTAAGAGGATTCCATTAACCTTCATTAATTTTAGTGGAAAGATAAAGAATGAAAAACTGTCTCCAGGCTCCTTGATTAGTCCTGTGTATCTGAGCACTGCTCCAAAACAAAAAGCACATAACTGTTTACTCTACTCACTAAGAGAATGAGTAGTTCTTGCTAGAATTGCCTTTTCTCCCCTTGCTACCACACAACTGAGTGTGACCTCCAAACTGAAGGGCCCTTACCACAGGAGGAAGCAGAAGACAATTTAGTGCTCAAACTGCCAGAGTGTACCAGACCACTTTGGCTAATGTGAACCAACAGCATGGTGAAAGCAAAAAATTGGCTCTTTTTTGAGGGGGAAGTCCTGAGGCTTGAACTCTGGGCCTGAGTGCTGTCCCTGAGCTGCTTTTGCTCAAGGCTAGCACTCTACCACTTGAGCCACAGTGCCACTTCTGGCTCTTTATGTTGTCTTCTTTCCTGTCTGTCTTCCCCAGGAATAAGTGACTCGTGTCTGTAACACTAGCTACTCAGGAGACTGAGAACTGAGGATCTTGGTTCTAAATACTGTGACTCTCGGGGCTGGGAAGGTGGCTCAGTGGTAGAGCGCTTGCCTTGCATGCCTGAGGCCCTGGGTTCGATTCCTCAGCACCACATAAGCAAAAAAGCCGGAAGTGGTGCTGTGGCTCAAGTGGTAGAGCGCTCGCCTTGAGCTGAAGAGCTGAGGGACAGTGCCCAGGCCCAGAGTTCAGGCCCCACGACCGGACCCTCCAAAAAAAAAAAGACTGTGACTCTCATCTCCAATTAGTCATCAAAAAGTCAGAAGTAGAGCTATGGCTCATATGATAGAGTACTAGGCTTGAGTAAAAAGGTTAAGAGACAGTGTTTAGACCCTGAGGTCAAACCCCAGTATTGGCACATACACAAAAATACCCAAGCAAAAAAAAAAAAAAATACAACACGACAAAATCTTAGCAAAACTTTAACTTTCTCTAATATCTAGAGAAATTCTATCCAAGTATCCTCTAAATTTTAATTTTGCTTTTTGGTAATACTGGGGTTTGAACTTAGGGCTTTGCGTGTGCTAGGCAGGCACACTATTGTTTGATTCACATGTCCAGCCTACTTTCCTATGGTTATTTTCCTATGGTTATTATTTCCTTTTTGCCTAGGCTGGCCTGGAACAGCAATCCTCTTGATCTTAGGCTCCCTCCCACATAGTTAGAAATAACAGGAATACCATCACTTATGACTAGTTATTGGTTGAGATATGACTGAGGCCTAGATAGGTCTTTAATTGTGTTCCTCCTGATCTCAGCCTCCCAAGTAGCTAGGATTATCTATGTGAACCACCAGTACCTGGTCTGGGCTCTGTTTTATGTTTGAAATTTAAGCCTACAATTTGGTTAGGCAAATATTTTACATTAATTTAATTTTCTTGACAGCAAAAAAAATGTTTGTTTTATTTTTGTTGTTATTGTTGATTGTGGGGCCTGAACTCTGGGCCTGGGCACTGTCCCTCAGCTCTCTAGCACTCTACCACCTGAGCCACAGTGCCACTTCCTGTTTTCTGGTAGTTTATTGGAGACAAGAGTCTCACGGACTTTCCTTGCCGGGGCTGGCTTTGAACCGTGATCCTCAGATCTCAGCCTCCTGAATAGCTAGGATTACAGGCATGAGCAACCAGTGCCCAGCTTATTTATTTATTTTTATTTTTTTTGCCAGTCCTGGGCTTGAACTCAGGGACTGGGCACTGTCCCTGAGTTTCTTTTGCTCAAGGTTAGCACTCTACTACTTAAGCCACATGCCACTTGTAGTGCCACTTCTGATTTTTTTTTCTGATTTTGTGGAACTGAGGAATTGAACCCAAGGCTTCATGTATGCTAAGCAAGCCACTAAGCCACATTCCTAGTCCAGAGTAGCTTATGAATACAATACATCTTGATCAGTGTCACCCCTTTCATTATTCTCCCTCATTCCTCTCATCCCCCCTTCCCTCAAATTTCTTAATTTTGTAAGATATACATTAAATTTTATGACTTTTCTTCTCATTACTCTTTTGCAAATTTGTTTTATTTAGGTAATTTTAAAGAATGACTACAATGACTACAACTACATAAATATAATTTTCAATTTTCATAAAATTTTTTACAAATTCATCTCTATCAAATTTTACTCATACTCTGAGCATATTAAAATCTATACAGTTATGATCTTTGTGGGTTCCTATTATCCACCACCATAGTCAATATGCTAAATAGTTCCAATACCACAAGGATCCCTTGTTAGTTACTTATCTACTTTTTTTTTTTTTTGGGTCTGGTTGTCGGGCCTGAACTCTGGGCCTGGGCGCTATCCCTTAGTTCTTCAGCTCAAGGCTAGCACTCTACCACTTGAGCCACAGCGCCACTTCCAGCTTTTTTCTTTTTGCTTATGTGGTGCTGAGGAATTGAACCCAGGGCCTCATGCATGCAACGCAAAGCCTCTATTTTCAATTCAGTTTCTAAGATTAGCAGTTTAAATTTTGTCCCTGGCAAATGTTCACGAGACCTCACTTCAACCATGCTGTGTATACTTATCATCCCAGCCTATGTGGAGGGGGTAAATAGAAAGACCGATTGCCAGGTCTGGGAATTTGAAGCTGAGATTTGAGAACTGTGGTTCAAAGCCAGCCTGGGTAGGAAAGTCCATGAGTGAGAGAGATTCTTTCTCCAATTCAACATAAAAACATCTGGAGATGGGACTGTGGCTCAAGTGGCCTTGAGCAAAAAAGTTAAGAGGCAATGCCCAGGCCCTGAGTTCAAGCATATATATATTGGTGCATATGCCTGCATGTGTGCATGGTAGAGCACTTGGCTAGCAAGTGCAAGGCCTTGATTTCAAACCCTAGTAGCACAAAACAAAAACAAAAAAACCCCACCAAAAAACCATTCATTCAGTTTTTGAAACTAACAAAAATATGGGCTCATCCTATGGAGAGAGTGCCCTAGTGAAGAGCTATAGCATTTAGTGATATTCAAGTGATATTTTCACTTGAATCCTTCAGGAAACCTGGAAAAAGGTGGGGTCTGTACTCATTACCAAGAGTGGTCAGTCATACACAGTCACTGAAGACCAGAAGCAGCTAGGACAGCTGACACTTTCAGAGATTTAAGAAACCAGGGACAGAGAATAAATAATTCTCTGAAATAACAGAAATGACCTCAAGTGCAAATTGGAAAGCTGCTAGATCCTTCCCACAGGCCCAAACTTCTATGGACTATCAATTCTGGCAGAGGCAGGAAGTGATGGAATTGGGCTGACCCATTCTTTTGACCAATGGAAGCAATAGAATACCTGAAGAAAATGAGTGGTTTCAAGGCCACGTTCTTCCTTTGTAGCTTTTGTGACCTGATCCCACAGTGGCCTAAGATGGCTTTTATGGGAGGCTGGAGATAGGGTATGATCATAAAGTCTGCCCATGCATGAAGGTCTTAAGAGTGCAGTCCCACCCATCTTTTTCCTCAGGAACACAATCTCAGCTGCCTCCAACTGCCACCATCACAGCCAGAAGCCCAAACAGTGTTTTGGATCTGGGCCCATTCTTTACTGGACACAACTAGCCTACTGTAATCACTAATTATTATTAATACACACAAAAAACATAGAATAGCATAAAGGCACCAAAAGCTTCTTTATTACCAACCATAATAACAATAGTGAAAAGTACAGCCTGGGATTTCCTGACCCTGCACATTCCCATCTTGGCCCAGATGACAATGAACCTGAACTGGCAAGAGATTCCTCTCTAGAAGGCCTGATCAAGAGTATGTTTTTTCATCTAGAGTCTCCTGGAGCAGTGACACAAGCTCTAGCAAATCTTCTCTCCCATGTTGTACACCTACCATCATGCTGCTTACACAGGGACATCAGGAGCTAGAGTCTGTGTTCACAGCTCTATACTTGTCGAGAAGTGGTACTTCCACCCCAACTGGACTGGCCATCCTGAGAATCAGGATAAGAATCAAGACTGCAGAGAGAGAAATCTACCTCTAGAGTTTCATATAAAGGAAGAAAGAAACAGATAAGATCCCCATATCTAGATAGTGAAGGATGAAGTTTAGAGATTACTATTCCAACAAGTGTCAGAGAATTTTTTTTTTCGTCAGTCCCTGAACTCTGGGCCTGGGTGCTGTCCCTCAGCTCTTCAGCTCAGGGCTAGCTGCTCTACCACATAAGCCACAGCATCACTTCCCGCTTTTTCTGCTTATGTGGTGCTGAGGAATCAAACCCAGGGCCTCATGCATGGGCATGCAAGGCAAGTGCTCTACCACTGAGCCACCTTCCCAGCCCCAAGTGTCAGAAATCTTGATCAAATTCCCCAATTCCTGAACTCTTGAGGATATTATGATGTTGAAGTCAAACTTGTAATTTGTATATGGACTATACCCACTACCATACTCTGGCCATCCCTTGGCCACAGTATGGTAACTGGTTTCTTTTTTTAAAATTATTATTATGAAAATACCATACAGAGGAGTTACAATTACATGAGTAAGATAATGAGTACAATTCTTTTTTTTCTTTTTTTGTCGGTTGTGGGGCTTGAACTCTGGGCCTGGGCGCTGTCCCTCAGCTCTTCAGCTCAAGGCGAGCGCTCTACCACTTGAGCCACACACCACTTCTGGTTTTCTAGTGGTCTATTGGAGATATGGTCTCACAGACTTTCCTGCCCGGGCTGGCTTTGAACCATGATCCTCAGATCTCAGCCTCCTGAGTCGCTAGGATTACAGGTGTGAGCCACTGGCACCCGGCAATGAGTACATTTCTTAACAAGCATTGTTGTCTCCTCCTCTGTTTCCCCTTCCTATCCCTTTCTGTCCCTGCCCCCTCCCCCCCCATCCCCCCTGCCTGCCACAGGGCCCGGCAGTCTGGGCCTATCCCACGGAGAACCCAAAGTCTTACTGTAGATAATCTCAGTTGTACTTTCCTAGAAAGGATGAATTATCCTGGTTTTTCTCCTGTGTCTCTGGGCACATTTTTTTTTGGTCAGTCGTGGGGTT